TTTTTCTATTCAGTGTGGCTGATGATGATCGACAAATAAACGATCGAAACGTTCCACTGCATCTCTGCATTATTATTTTTATTACTACCACGACCTGTAGTCTCAAAGGCCGAGGAGGTCTTTTTTAATTATTTTATTTTTAGCCCTAATGATAGGTAATATGGAACTACACGACGGAGATAGTTTCAGTTCTATTTCCACTGAAATAGAACTCCCATTTAGTACAAAACGCTCACGTAGATTTATATTATCATCTTCCGATGAGTCAAGCGATGCATCAATTGAGGTTACCGCGCGCCCTAGACGAAAATGCCGCCGAATTGTATATAGCTCCGAAAGTGAAAATGAAGCACAAAATATCACTAATAAGTTACTAGACCAATGGATAAATCCAAGTGGAAATCAACCTGTACTTATACCATTCACGGGTACACCAGGAATAACATTATTGGATTATTTATGGAAAGAAGAAGATTTTTACTTACTATTTGTTACCGAAGAAATGTTCGAAGAGATAGCAGAACAGACTAACATCTACGCGATGCAAACATTAGCTCAGAGACGGTCATGTCGTTTGAACAAATGGATTCCTACTAACAAATATGAAATAAAAAAACTTTTCGGCCTTCTCATCTGGATGAGATTAGTAAAATTACCCGAAATACACTTATATTGGTCGAAAGATCCAATATTCGCTCAAAGCTTTCCTCCATCAGTAATGCCAAAAAACCGCTTTGAGCTACTGTTGCGAATGGTGCATTTCGTGAACAATGAAAATGCAAATGTTGGAGACCGCCTCTATAAAATAAAACCTATTATTGATAAATTAAGAGAAAATTATGGAAAATATTATGATCCACCAGAAACACTATGTATTGATGAGTCCATAGTACCATTTTGCGGCCGTGTCTTTTTTAGACAATATATAAAAAACAAACGGCACAGATATGGTGTAAAGTTATTCAAATTATGTTTTAAACCGGGATATACGTACAATTTTGAAATTTACTGCGGTCAACAACTTGGCAAAGAAAAAACTACGCCTAAAGCGGTTGCTATGTCGCTTTGTCAAAATATTTTCGATAAGGGACATACTCTTTGTATCGATAACTGGTATTCTAGCATAGATTTAGCCCAAGAATTTTATTGCGAGGAACACTCATGTAATAGGAACGATTCGTTCAAATCGTCGCAGAATTTCGGAAGAAGTGGTGCAAAAAAAATTACAGCGAAGAGAAATATTTGCAAAAGAAAATGAAAATGGAATAACATTGATGAAATGGAAGGATAAACGGGATGTCCTACTATTGTCTACCAAACATTCTGTAGAGACGGCTATTGTTAGAAAAAAAGGATATGATATCGTTAAACCGAAACTTGTAATTGATTACAATGAAGCCAAGAGTTCCGTTGACGTTTCTGACCAAATGACAGCATACAGTAATCCATTACGCAAAACTTTCAAATGGTATAAAAAAGTAGCATTTGAGCTTCTCTTAAACACTTCAGTTGTAAATGCTTGGATATTATATAATACTCAGCAACAAAAACCTATATCAATAGTAAAATTTAGAAAACGATTAGCTAATTATTTATGTTACTATGAGGATGAAAACAACAACTCGTCTCCTGAAACTGCGACACACTCTAGAAAACGACACGAAATTAAAGAGAAAGAGGGCAAAGCGAGGACAGCTAGACAACGTTGCATTTCTTGCTATAAAAAAAGTGTAAAAAAATTCGGTACTGAAGTAGCAAGAAAAAAAACTATAAGAGTAATAACGTTTTGCAGCGATTGCCTGAGAAAGCCGTCTTTATGCCTCCCTTGCTTCAACGAAATGCACCATTACATGTAATTATTAATTATTGTATATATAACAATTAAATAAACTTATGTGTTTTGCTCTATACTGCATCTTGTATAATGCTTCATTTTTTAGTTAGAAATATAGTTAACAGAATTATATTTGTAATAAAATATATATTTTCAGCGCATTAAATAAATATGACTGCGTGTACCACCGGTGGTACACGTGGCCTGACGATCAAGTTTACCGTGTACCACCGGTGGTACACGTGGCACGGAACGTGTTAA